AAATGGGAAACATTAACTTGCGCAGATACAAGAACAAAACTTGCAAATGCCCCCCCCCCACGATGGTTTGTAAACTCCTACTGATGACCCCTGATGTGGAAGCTCCTTAGGAGTCGCTTGCTCGGTGCTGCTGCTGAATACTGTGGAATAAAATGGCCTGCACTCAGCAACCAACTTCCTGAAGGACAGTAGAAATTCAGCAGCTGGCTGATATTGAGAAAAAGCCTGCGTTCGAAAGATGACTTGGAATCAAAAAGTCTCTAATATCCTTCTTCCATGTGGTAGGAAGAAGCGCGCACGTTGGAAGCGAAAGCTGATTCATGGGAAAAGTTCAGTGAAGTGTTAGAGTCCAATCTCCATACGGCAAATAATGTGTTCAGGCAGACCGACCACCGCCTTCGAAGTGAGAGAAAAGGCCGTCAAAAATTTTTGAATGACAAATCCGGATGCTCTGCTCATGAGAGAGTGATTTCGAGGCTACAATGAGGAAGTCTTTAACCCTGAGCAACTGCAGAAAGACTCGCCTGTAGAGCGGCAAGCTAAGTTATATTAGCCTTTCAATAGACGAAGTTTAAAGTTTAAACAGTAGCAAAGTTGCTAGAATCGATGAAACGCTTCAGGCTTTAGGCAAACAGATCATATGCTGGCTAACACATGTGCGAAACAGCAACGGCTACCGGGTAGAAATTAATGGACTGGAGAATGGTGTCTTCTCAAGAAGGGAGATCATTTGGAGTGATCCACTGATCAGAGTATTACCTCATTGAATCGACCTGAGACAGTCTATCCAAATCTGTTAGACAGAATAGCCGTGGAATAGCTGATGTAATGATCTAAGGCCAACGCACCTGTGACCAGATAATCCCCTTAAGATTACGGCTTAGCTTTGTTGGTTTCTTCTGAAACTATTCTCTAGAGCTTTCTGGAATTTCGCTGCTGCATGCGACTTGTTTTAAACGACTAACCAAATGTTCACTAGTTCTCCTGCCGTTGCGATCTACAAATACATGAACAACGGTAGAACAAATGGGGAAGTTTGTATACCTCGGATAGTATTCCTGTTGATGATAAAAAATGGGAGGAAGAGTTCGATAGACAAATTGAAATAGCCAGCAGGATTCTGCATAAATTAGCTTGAACCGTGTGACTAAAGTAGAGGTGCATCTGAAGACCAAGCTGTTCACGTTTAGGTCAAACTTCATCCAGATGCTCACCTACAGTCAGTAGTCGAGGGCCATGGTTGAAACACATAAATCCTGCATAGAAACGGGTTTAAAATGGGCCTTCATAGCCGAACCGGTGGGCTCACGAATTAGGACATGAACCGTAGTACGTATATGCGACAGATCCTTGGTGCTCAGCCGCAGTTTTGTTCAAATTGAGAAATTACTGCTGCGATGGTTTGGACAGACCCTGTGAATGCTTTCAGAAAACAAGGCCAAACAGCTACCACCTGCCAAACGGACTGTTTCTAGAATGAAATTGTTTGAGCGCCTTTACAAGCCAAAGGGTGGTGTGAATACCTCAGAAAAAACTACCAGGAGGGGGTTTATTTTTCTGAACTCCTAATGTCAGGAACAAATGTACAGTCGCCCAAAGGTTGATGAAGAGTTTATGCTTGATGTTGCACAGCATTCAACATAAACGAAATACAGCAGCCTTAAACGTTTTTCGGCATGGAAGAGATTCCCTGAAAATTCATTTCTTGCCTTTTAAATTCAGCATCATTATTTGTGATGTCAGGGTCAATCTCGGGATCCTTCCATTGAATTTGCTACGGGTCATGTTGTTTCTTCAAGAAGCCATTTTCAACGGTGAACCTCATCCGCAAACTTGCAGATTTTTCTTACTTCGTAATTTGGATAAACAAGTGTCTCTGACGAGAGGAAGTTCAGTGCTGCTGTGCTTTGCACGTGTAATACTGTAAACACCGTGTACACCACGAGCAGACGTGTTTTGCATTTGCAAACTTTGTAACGTGCAACGTGATCATCGCACACAAACCCACACATAGGACACATAAAATCTACATATCTGATATCTATGTATACGTATAAGTCTTATATATAAAAAACTGTATATGATCTTTCTCTGACCTTTTCCGACGCTTCACCCCAGCTTCATCATGAGGGCAGTAATGCACTAGCGAAAGAGCACGGTGTACTGAGAAACAGCTGTGAAAGTGCAGTTATTACATTATTATACACTACGTTTCATTTATTTTTATAATAAACTGGCCAATGACATTGTAATGTCATTGCAACCATATGAGGCGGTACACTGGTAACACAGTTGGTTTATTTAGCCAACATGTGTTGTGAATCTTGAATTAATAGCCAGTGGCTAGTAAGATATC